TTATGTGCTGCTCAGCACGGATTTCGTCGTAGTCACTCCTGTCTTACAAGCAGTCTTTACTCTCAGGTAAAGTGGACAAGAGCCATAGACCAGGGCCGTCCAGTGGACGTCATCTTCTTTGAATTTAAGAAGGCGTTTGATAGCGTTCCTCATGGACGACTCCTACAGAAGATTTGAGAGTGTGGAATACAGGGTAATATTTTTAAGTGGATTAAAAGTTTCCTGTCATGCAGACTCCAAAAAGTGATCGTTGGTACCACTGAATCCGAATGGGTGCCCGTAAAAAGCGGCGTTCCGCAGGGCTCAGTCTTGGGTCCTCTCCTCTTCCCTATCCATATAAATGACTGTCCTGCAGACCTTGAATGCGATGGCATCATGTTTGCAGATGATATAAAGATCTGGAAAAAAATCAGCTGTGTTGACGACGGGCAGAAGCTACAGGAAGATGTTAATAAGCTGGCTGCGTGGTCCAGCAAGTGGCTTCTAACGTTTAACGTATCCAAATGTGCAGTCTTGCGACTAGAATCTGGCCGGAGGCGCTTCCCAAAACATCAGTACACCATAAATGGGGTTCCACTAAAAGAATTGGACACGCACAAAGACCTAGGCGTCTGGACATGCTCAAACTTGCTGCCCTCTCAGCACTACAACCAGCATCATGCACTGGATTAGGCGTGCCTTCAAAATCTTTCCTCCAGAACTCTTCTCACAGATATTCGGCACGTTCGTCAGACCGCACTTGGAATACGGAATGCCATCATGGATGCTCTGGATGAAGAAAGACAGTGATGCCATAGAGCAGGTGCAACGACGGGCCACAAAACTGGTGGACGGTCTCAGGACTCTGTCCTTCTCAGAAAGACTGATTCAGTTAAATTTGTTCCCCCTATCCTATAGATGAATGAGGTGTGACCTCTTATGGACATTCCGCATTATCCACGGGCATGAATGTTCGCTCAAAACTGAAGACTTCTTTGAATTCACGACCACGAGTCACCTGCGCGGTCACCCGTACAAAGTCAAGCGGGAGCGTACACGCCTAGACCATCGGAAGTTTTCCTTCAGTCAGCGTGTTGTTCAACCGTGGAACTCACTTCCGAGTGAACTAGTAACATCTGATACAATGGCTGTATTCAAACGCCAGCTGGATCGTTTGATCTTTGATAAACGACGACTCTCACTACAGGACTATCTGCGGCCAGCCATCAATTTCATTACTTGATGTCATCCCTACTTAACACATCCCGGACATTTCATGAAATGTTCCCTCTCAAACTATGCAAATGACTGCACTTTATGCTGATTGTTTATAACGGCACTTAAAATTTCATATGTACACCGCCTTCCGCACCCTTCGCAGTCCCGCACTGTGAAAACTTTTTCCGTGAACAAACCTGTTACTGACAAAATTGCAGTAAGCCGTACTGTTAACATTTATATTTTATGTACCGTTTTTAATAGGGTCATCAAGGGCACAGCCTACTACCCTAAAATACACCATTATTATTATTATTATTATTATTATTATTATTATTAAGCCGCCAGCTGCGTGTGTTACATAGAAGTGCAGACTTCCCGTAGCACCGGGAAGTCTTAGGTGGGCAATAAAGCCTTCGCGACAATAAGAGGGTTGTTACCGGCGTCATCCACAGTGTCCTTCAGAGCAGGATGAAAGCATACACGGTGACTTGCTGGTGCAAAAGTTTATAATGAGTGTTGGCATGCGCAGCATCTACCACACACTCAAGCCTTCCTCCCCCTCCTCCTCCTCCTCCTCCTCCTCCTCCCCGCACCACATGAAGGTGTAGCCGTCTGCTACCTCCTCCATTAGACCTTGTTCGTTGATATGAGTCACACTGTCTGCAGCGATATCAATCTTGTAGCACGCAAATTCCCAATCAACAGGCGCCGTTCTTCGTTCCAGCCGATTGCCACTGGGATTATCCAATAGGGAACGCATATTCCAGCCTGCCAGTGTGAACGGACTCATCCTAGCAGCCTGTGAGGAGGGCTGAAGGGGCGAAGGATGAAGAAATATAATGACTGATACTGACTGAAAATTCGATAGTCGTAACCGATGGTGTCCACCGCATACTCCACAACAGGCTGGGAGCAGGCACGCTGAATTGTGCACAATTATATTTAAAGTGGCAGAAGACCTGCGCTGCGTCTACCGCACGCGCTCCTCCTCGTCTTTTTCCTTCCTTCCCTTTCTTCCTTCATCCGTCGCACTCGGTTCTGATTACATTCGATGGGATTGCCATAAATGCAACATTAACTGATAGGCAATGCAGGTTGACTGTATGTCCGCCACTCCCCTCAAACACACGACAGTTCGTCCGTCGGTTTCGACGATGACCACCGTGTTCCCCACAGCTGCAGCAGCGGTGGGAGCAGGGACGGTGACTTGCGCAGGGGTTTATAGTGCCGGTAGACTTGCGCTGCATCTACCTACACTCTCTCCTCCTCCCCCGCCTGGGCCCGGTGTCAAGACAGAGTCAAGAAGACTGGAGACAGGGGAGGCCGCAGGTGGATGGCTCGGACGGATCCTCACCTTGGCGTTCCACCACACCCCCTGGTCCACACAACAATAACCAGGATTTCAACCAACACAACAGAGATTTGGAGGCTGGCACGGCCGAAGCCGCACCTAGGCGTGCCGCCAACGCCTGGCTCGGATCCCACACTGTGGTGGGAATGCCATAAAGGCCACATTAAAAAGGAGCCATTGCAGCCTGACTCTCAGACCGCCTCCAGTGAAGAAGGAGGTCCAAGGTACTCCGTCAGTTGGCAACCTTCCAAGCCACGGCTTTTAGCGCACCGTGATAGCTTCAAGCGCGTCAGATTGAGTACCGTGAGGAGAAAGTGCGCTGAGTCGTCGACCTCACTCTCCCTTCCCATTCCCACACCCCAGCCACTGTCCGAGCCGGTCAGTAGACTGGAGTGGGGAATGGGCGCGGTGGCTGACATGGTCGACTGACCATGCCTGCGCGCGCCACAGCACGACCTGGCCCCCCATACACACACAACACCAGGATTTCACACAACGGGGGTAGAACGGCGTGTCTCTCACTTGCGTGAGAGGGCCGTGGAAGGTGCTGCTTCAGCCCATCCCCAGCCCACCAGTCCGCCACTACACGCAACACACACACAACGTGACGAGCTGCGTGAACCGAGAGCGGGCCTCAATCAGCAACCTTCCTATCCACGACACTTGAAGTGTCGGGATAGTCTCGGACTCAAGTCACCCCTGCAGCCGAAGCCGCATGGGGACCGAGTCGAGATGCACACTTCCCACTTGCGTGGGAGGCGGCAGTTGAGTGCATGAGGTGTGTGGGGCTGATGTCTGGTGGGGTGATGTTGTTAGGAGGTAGGGAGTGAGGGAATGAGTGGTGTGACCGGCGGTTGTCTACCGCAGGTCGTCGTGGATGCGCATGTGGCCGAATAGACCCATGCGATGCCTGAAGGTTCGAGGGCAGTGTGGGCAGTGGAGGCGAGTGCGGTGGGTGTAGGTTGGTGCTCCAGGCACTGGTTCGCCAGTCCCTGTGCGATGGATTCGCAAGTGACCGACCAGGCCGATGCGAGAGGTGAAGGTGCGATCGCAGTGAGGGCAGATGTAGTCCTGGCCCTCACGTCTGATGATGGAGGTTGCAGGGGTTGTGCCTGTTGTTGTGTCCGTTTCGGCTGTGGTGGAGTCGTGGGCGACAGACGCCGAAGCGGCCGTCGTTGCGGTAGTGATGGAGGAAGAGGAGGAGGAAGGGGATGAGTGAGGGGTGGTAAGGTCGGTGTTGTCGATGTTGGCTGGGGAGTGGTTAGTGGGTGCACAA